TCCTCCACGCCCCCTCCTTGCCCGCCCCTTCCCGGGCGGCTGTGGCTCTGCCCACATCCGAGAGCCCAGACTTCCTGTCGCTGGTGGGGCAGCCTCGCCGTGGCCCCACCAGGGGACCGAGGGACCTAGGGACCCAGGCCCAGGCGCTCCTGGGGGCAGAGGGCTTTATTCACACCAGGGGCAGTGCAGGGAGTGGGGGGCGCTGGGTCAGCTCAGATGAGTGGCAGGTGAGAGGACAGGGAGGAACGGAGGCAAGACCCAGCTGCATCTCGGCCCCTGTGGTCTCTCCGCCTCAGCATGGGGTGCCCATCCCTCTCCGTCTCCAACACTCCCTCCTGAGCTCTCCAGTCCTCCCGAGCCCTGCTCCTATATTGCAGTCTGATGAGCTCCAGGTGCGCCCACACCAGGGCTGCCCCTGGCAGCTGTGACAAGCGTCCTGAAGTTTCCCTTGGCAAATCTCAGCTCTGCCCCTTCCTGGCAGCGAGGCCCCTCTGAGACTCAGTTTACCCATCTATTAAATGGTGGCGATATTTGCCACAGGCACAAATGGATGCCAGGTTTGGAAATGACATAGGTGAATATGCCCAGCTTATAGTAGGGTCAATTGTCTGCTGGAGGGGCCGGCACTTTTCAGCTAGTTCGGAGGGTCTTTTCTGAGGTCAGAGGTCCAGGGCCCCCAAAGCGGAGGGAGAGGGCGATGGCTGCTTTGCTCGCCGGAAGCCACGCTCAGAGGCAGGCATGGGCAAATAACTCGTGGGAGGTGATGGGGAATCCGTGTGTGTGCAGGAAGGCCCGCCGACGTGGGCTGAGGGGCCCCAGACCCGCAGGTGCTGCTATGCATCATCACAGCTCTGCTAGCAAGAGGCACGGACTGGCCACCGCATCTGCCACCCAGGCCTGTGAGGGCAGGACTTTGGCCCCTGGGGAGGGGCCCAGCTGGGCCAACTCCCCAGAGACCCACAGAAGCCCCAGGGGTGAGGGGTGAATTACCCAGACATGCATTCCACCCTTGGGAAGTTCACAGTTAAGAGGTCAAGACAATCAAGAAAGTCATTCCAACATGGGAAGATGAGGGTTGTGACAGAGTGTGGCCCACAGCCTAGGTCAGGGAAGGCACACCTCTCCCAGAAGTGACAGTTCAGCTGACACCTGATGGATGAGTAAGAGTTAATCAGGCAGTGAAGGGAACAGTGTTTCAGAGAAGAGGAACAGTGTGTGTGAAGCCCCAGTAGCCAGAGGAAAAGTGAGAGAGCTGATGCAGTTGAGGGTGGGATGTGCGGTATGGGAGGATGTCCTAGGCATCCTGTGAGGGACAAGGTCAACCTGGACCAGGGTGGTGGCCGTGGGGTGAGGGAGCAGTGAAGGGATTCAGTAGGGAGTTAAGAGTTTAATCAACAAGACGAGGTGACTGAGGATGTGGTGATGTGTGTGTGTGTGTGAGAGAGAGAGAAAGAGAGAGAGAGAGAAATGGAGACAGAAAGACAGAGAGATTGGAAGCCAGGTTCCTGGCTGAGTGACTGAGTTGGGGCGAGTGGGGACAGACAGGTTTGTGGGGTAAATTTGGTTTTAGGCCTGTGTGGATGAGTGTCTCTCAGAGGATGGGAGGAGGGGCTGGTCTGTATCTCATGGATGTGGAGTGGGGTCCCAGCACCAAACTCCCCACCGAGCCCTGGGAAGGACCACAGTTCACAGACTACATGCACCGCTTTACAGCGAAGAGCAGTGCCAAATGTCAGGGTCTTGGAACTGCCAAGTGCAACCGAGGCAGGAGGGTGGCAGTGAGCAGCCCCTCCAGACACCAGTGGCCGCTGCAGGTGGGACAAGCCTGGATGGAAGAGCCCCAGAGCAGAGCACCAGGCCCACCCTGTCCGCCTGCTGGGGCCCCCCTGCCGTGAGAGCCAGGCTCCGCCCTGGTAGGTGGCAGTGAGTCCCAGGCCAGCGAGCGGCTTGGGGGAGTGTGTCCTGCGGGGACTCCGGGTAAAGTGACTCAGAGGAACTGCTCTTCCCTGGGAGGAGCCCTGGTGGCCATCGGCACGGGCTGGTCGGGGAAATGATGGGGTCCAGATAGGGGATGCCAGACGGCTGTCAGAAGAAGAAAGGAACGGGCCTGAGATGCACAATTCAGGTCAAAATAGACAAGCAAGCAGAGGACAGTGTGAATAATGTGCTCTCAGTCGTCCAGCAAAGGGGGACTAGGAGTGCGCACTTCTCTGTGCGTGAAAACGGGACAGGAACACAGACCTGAGAAAGGTAGTTTCCTGTGTGTTGGAGGGGGTCATGGAGATGGAGGGGTGAGAATTTTAAATGCATGGCCTTTTACAACATGTAGCTTTTGAACTTTGAATGTTTTATCAATTAAAGTTGGATAAAAAATGTTCCAGATTAAAAATGAAGGTGAACCGCACATCTTGCTCGAAGCCTCTCCCCACCCTGAGGCTCCCAGTTCCGCAGCTGGTCTGGGAGGTGATGGGTGGATGCCCCAGGTCCCTGTGTCCACAGCTGCTTGGGGACAGGCCCGGCAGGTGTTCTGCGCTGCAGATTCCGTCAATTTGGTCACAGACCCATGAGGACGGGGCTGTCCACAGGGTCTCTCTTCTTTTCCTCCCAGGGACCTGCAGCCTGGTGGCCCCGGAGGTCACAGTGGGCCTAGGGGGTGGGGGCTGGGAGCCAGGACGAGGAGGTGGGGGAGAGCGGGGCACTTCCTGTTGCTTTTGGTTTGGGTTCCTGAGCTTTGAAACTGAAACCAAAGGCCAAGGCTGGGAGCCTCGGTTCAGATCTCAGCCGGAGCGGCCCCTCAGCTTCTGGAGATTTCTCTGGTGCCAGGCCCTCAGAGCACAGAGGCAAGGCTTTCTGGATGTTGTTGGAGCCCCTGCAGAACACTTCGGGTAATAAAGGGGGCTGGAGCAGGCGCTGGAGGCCAGGCCTCCCCGTCAAGTAGCCACAGCATCCTGGTGGACCTTGGCGAGACCGCTACAGACAAGCCTCAGAGAGCAAAGCAGGGCTGGGTGAGGGACGCCAACCCAGGTGGACAACTTGTAGGAGAATGAGGCCTTTTGGGAGCAGCATGACGGCATGAGGCCGGAGCTCAAAGACGTTCCCCTCCCGCACCCTCGCCTCTCGCAATCTGATCACTGGGCGACCTGGCCTCAAACCAGACAGTGCCCTGGACCCAGGACACCAACCACGGCCCCAGTCCCTAGAGGAGCAGAGGAGAGGCACGACAGATGCCACCAGGGCCCCAAACAGCTCCTTTGAATTGGAGGATCTAGCCGAGAGCCTGCAGGTAGCAAACCAGCCAGGCCTGGGTGGGGTTTCAGCTTATCAGCTGCGTGGTCTTGGTCAACTTACTTAACCTCTCTGAGCCTCAATCGTCTCCTGAATAAGGACAAACCTCGGAGGAGACTTGAAGAGTTTTGGGATCAGGAATCAGGGACCAGGAAGTGAAAGAACATTTATAAAGGTCTCGGTCCAGAGCAGGGGCTCAAACAATAATTAACGTTTGCCTAACCTGGTGAGGGAGGGAAACAGCTCAGTGGTAGAGCGCGTGCTTAGCATGCACAAGGGCCTCCATTTAAAAAAAAAAGGAAACTGTAGGGAGAGGGGAAGTGACATGGGTCAAAAACACATATTCACGTAAGAAAAGACGGATGTCAGAAAAAGGGTAAATAAAAAGTAAAATATTAAAAGAAATTTACCAACCCAAGAGCAATTTCCTTCATCTTTTGGGGGACAACAGGACCCCTGAGGCACCTGGACTTTCTCCCTAGAACAGTGTAGGTCTGCGCACACAACGTGCTTTCCAGGTCTCTGGGCTGCGTGGCTGGTGTCCCTGGAGGCAAACCGAGTGTCTGTCACTGGTGTTGTCAGCCTGGCCCAGGGGCCTTCCCAGAGCCTGGGGCCTGGGTTTGCTGTGCGGGTGGTGGGCCCCACTGTGCAGCCTCCCTGAGTCCTGGGCTGACTCCAAAGGAAACCCTTGGCTTGCAGGCCCCGGTGCGATCATTCGAGCTGCAGCCTTTGCAGGCAGCTCTGCACAGCGACCCCGCTGCCCAGCCCCTCGGGCCCCCCTTTCCTGCCCATTGCTGGGCTGTTGGCAGCTGAGGACCCGGAGCGTGAGCAGATGGCGTCGGGGTCCCCTTTGAAATCTTCAAGTGGACCAACTTCCCCGGGGCGCCAAGCCCCAGCCTCCCACCGGCGGCATCCAATTTTCATCCAGGGAGTGACCCAGAACATGGAACTCACGTCTCCCTCCTTCCCCTTCTCCCTCCCCCACCACCCCCAGCCCTGCATCCTGGAGAAAATTACTTGGGAAAAAACCCAAGGCAAATTCACAAATTCTTTTAAGATGTATTTCTCCGAGGGTGGCCTGTTTTTAACCATCCTTGTCCACCACTCACCCTCCAAACTGGGCAAGCTGTGGGTTTGTTATCCCGCACAACGCCTGAGAATTCTGCAGTTAAGTAAGTGGATACAAACAAGTCAGCCGGCCTTTTATGCTGGGGCTCTGGTCCAGTCACGTCTGCCTCCATGGCTCCAGGTGCATCACAAGGAAGCGATGGTCTCCAAGCCTGGGGAAGGCGGACCGTTCACCTTACAGCTCTAGCAGGGCGGGGGCAGAAGCCCTCCTAGCTCTCCCGTCTCCGCGTGTGGTGGCTCGTCTGGCCCTGAATAGCCACGGCTGGACCCCGGAATCACGGCCTCTCCATACCCAGTGAATCCAGCTTGCTCTGGAGAAAAGCATCGCTAACTGGTTTTTGGACTTTTTTTCCTTAAAGGTGTCACACTCACTGACAAACTCAGACCTGGTGGTGTAGAGCTGGACTAGGCGGAGTGGGGAGAGGAGTGGCCCCTGCCCAGGACCCTCACCTCCCACCCCGTCCCACACTTCCCAGGGTTCCGTGGTGCTGATGTGGCTTCTAAGGGGTGTAACGCTAGACGATGCTATAGGACACACGGCATTGTTTTTTAGGATGAGGTCTTTACTAAGAGTTCTTTTATTCATAATTCACATCTTCAATATGTGGCAAAAACGTACCAGACAGTCAACTCACATCCATGGTATCTGAAACTAAAGGAAAGTGTTGCTCCTATGTCATTAAGAATTGCTCTAGGCTGCAAGTAACTGAGAACCCAAATAATGGCCACTTAACACAAAATAAAGATTTATTTCAGTTTCATGTGAAAGAAACCTACGCAGCAGTCCTGGGCTCCAAACTGTTATCAGTGACTCTGGCTTCTCCTATCTTTTTGTTCCACCAGCCTCTGCAGGGTTTCTACCTTCAAGGTCACCTCAAGATCCCGTATGGCTGCTGGAGCTCCAGCCATCACGTCTGTGTTCTACACAGGAAACTGAAGGAAGGGCTGTTCTGTCTCTACCCCAAACTTGCCTTACAGTTCCTTGATTATTCTGGCTGCAAGGGAGGCTGGGAGCTATAGTCTTTAAGCTGTGCACAGTTTCTCAGGATAAAATCAAGATTCTGTTAATGAGGAAACAAGTGTGGATACTGGATTGTCAACTAGTGGTTGCCCCCACAGCTCCCAGGAACACACAGACCTAGGTCTGAACCCCAGCCGGCCACCCACCAGCTGCTGAATACTTGGCATGGTGCCAGGCTGGAGCTGGCCTGGTCTGGCTGTGCCTGCTGGTCCATACTTGGAAAGTCTGCACTGATGGGGGTCAAGGAGAAGAATGGCCCAAGGACCCACAGGGCCCTTGCTGTCTTCCGTGGAGGAAGTGTGGCTCCTGGGCCGTGGGGAGCAAACCCGCCAGAGGGCCTTACCCACGTGCTCCCTCCTGCAGGACAGCGCAAGGCTGCACCACGCAGGAGCAGTACCTGCACAGACACATGGAGGACGCGTGCAGGGAGGGCGCGGGGCCTGGCCTCAGGCTCGAGTCAGGGATGCAGGCATGTAGACAGGGGGCCCTTCCCAGGGTCATGATATAATTAATCGTCCACATCAGGACAAATCTTAGTCAAACCAGAGTAATTAGTCCCAACCCCCAGGGTAAATCAGGCCTGTCCTGAGAAAACTGGGCCATACAGTCATCCTACCTCCACCCTGCACATGACATGGGGCCTGAACTGAGCTCGCTGAAGGCCGTTTGAGTTTAGGATGGTGGCAAGAGCTGAAAACCCCTGCAAACTATTACATTAAAAAAAAGTGGCTGAAAACAAGGAAATAAGAGAAATTTTAATGCAAGAAAAATAGTAGCATGGTGCATGTCCCCTTCTGCGTGTGAATGTGCATTGAGTCCCGCGGGCGGGCAGACCCCTGGCTTTCAGGGTCCCCGCCCTGTGGGCAGCACACCTGTCCCATGTGTTACATTCAATTGCTGCTCCAGGTTCCTGGGGCCGCTGACCTCAGACCTGGCTCTGTGTCCTTCATGCGGTCCTGCCTCCCTCCTCCCGCCGGCCGGGCTGGCCTGCTCAGCAGGTCAGCCTCCGGTGGCGAAGACCACTCCCTGCTCCTTCCCGAGCTGCACGTGCCCCCAGTGCTTCCTGGGTGGGGGCTCCGTCACCAGGGAGGATGGAGCCCCTCGGCCGTCTACGCAGCAGGGGGCCCCGGCTCGCCACGGCATCGCCCGGTGGGGTCTGCACACCCCGGCCGAGTCCCGCTCAGACTCAGCGGCGCCCGCCTCACAGCTGGTCCTCGTCCACCCACACGGTCTTGCGCTGCTCCTCGCAGATCTTGTCCTTGAGGACGCGCAGCAGCTCCTCCACGTTGCCCCACATGTCCACCTCCACCGTGGCGTACAGGCACGGCAGGGCCTCCAGCTCCCTCTCCTTCAGCCGGCACAGGCGCAGGAACTCCTCCTCCGTCTCGGGCCGCGTCAGCATCTTCCTGCGGGCGGAGGGCGAGGGACACATCCGGGCGGGCGTCACGGGGGAGGCTGCCCGACCGAGGCTGGGCTGGGCGGACCCGGTGCTGGGGACCGTTGTCTGCCCCCCTGGGAGAGCCCGGCCACGCCACTGTGCCTACCCCACAACCACCCCACTGACGCTACCTTCCTGCTTTGTTTCTCCACATCGTCTACCCCTGCGCATCCCGTGTGCCGTGCCTTTTTACTTTGTTCATTATGGAAATCCCGAGAAGCGGGATTTAAAAAAAAAAGTCTTTTTAAATTTTAACTGTGGTTAAGGACGTGACGTACAAAGTAACATTTACCGTCCTGACGGTGTGTAAGGGTATAGTTCAGTCCTGTTAAGTTATTCACACTGTTGTGCCTCTGTCTCCATAACTTTTCACCCTGCAAAACTGAAACTCCACCCACTAAGCAGTAACTCCCCCAGCCCCCGACAACCGCCCTCTGCTTTCTGTCTCTGAGTCTGACTCCTCCAGGGACCTTGTATAAGTGGAATCACACAGTATTTGCCCTTTCGTGTCTGGCTCATTTCGTTTAGTATAATGCCCTCAAGGTCCACCCATGTTGTAGCAGGTGTCAGAATTCCCTTCCTTTTCAAGGCTGTATCATATTCCACCGCATGGATGGACCTGTTTTGTTTATCCATCATCTGTCAACGGACACTTGAGTTGCTTCCACCCTGTGGCTGCTGTGAGTGGGGGTGTGCCGATCTCTCCAAGACCCTGCTTTCGATTCTCCTGGGTATAGCCCCGGAAGTGGGGTTGCTGGATCCCATGGTCAGTCTCTGCTTAATTTTTGAGGAGCCTCTGCACTACTTTCTGTGGCAGCTGCACCCTTCTACGTTCCCACCAGCTGGGCACAAGGGCTCCAACTTCTCCCTGTCTGGGCCAACACGTGTTAGCTTCTGTGTTTTGAACACAGCTGCCCTAAGGTGTGTGAGGTGGGATCCCAGTCTCATACGCTTGCTCATGGGTCCCCAGGCTGGGCCCTTCACGAGCATTGGGTAAATATTTGGGGAAAGAATGGAGGGGCCTGACGTCCCTTAGCCTCAGCTGCAGGTTGTGCGAGCAGACATGGGATTCAGAGACGATGCCATGCCAGGCAGGCCCCCAACCTCAGCATCATCCTGACCTCCTCTATTAAATCCCACAGCTCAGCCTTCAACATATCACACAGGCTTGACCTTGAACCTGAGCCCAGAATCAGACCTTTCCTCATCACCTGCCAGACAGGATCTGGTTCCAGCATCACAACCCCCTGCTCAGCTATCATGAAGCTGTGTCTCAACACAGAAGCCAGCAGGGGCTCTCCATCCCACGTTAAGGTCAGTCTGTCACTCCTCAAAACTGTCAGTAGCTCCCGTCCCACTTGGAAAGAAATGTCACCTCCTTCCATGGCCGATATGGCCTGGTGTGGTCTGGACACCCCCTTGGCCACAAAGTCACCTCTCACCACTGTGCCCACCGCGCCAGCCTCCTCTGGGCCATCCCCGCCTCGGGGTCTCAGTGCCCGCTGTGCCCTCTGCACCTGCCTGGCCTGGCCTCCCCGTGGCACGCCTGTTTCAGTGTCCACTTCCCGGGCCACCTGGGTCCTGTGATGCCCGCCCATCCCTCCCAGCATCTTTCCTCCTGGACGTGCTCCACGTGTGTGTGTGGGTTACTGTCTCCATTGCTGGAGGTCAGGGCTGTGTGACCCTGGGTGAGCGGGGGAGGGGACCAATGCAGCAGCCGGCTGTTCTTGGTGGGTGGGGTGGGGGGAGCAGGGGCGGACACTGGGGGCCCCTGGGGAGTCTCGGAGCCCCACCTGAACTTCTTGATGTTCTTCTCTGACACCCGGATGAAGAGGACGATGGGGTAGATCTGGGACTTGATCAGGTCTCTGGTGCAGCTGATCCCGGCCTCCAGCAGGCAGTGCTTGTTCTGCAAGCACAGCGGCCAGCGGTCAGCAGGGGCCCACCACCTCCTCCCGCCAGGGGGGGTGCCTGGGGAGGGGTCCAGGACGCAGAGTCAGGCTCCACAGGATGGAGCCGGGGACGAGAGCAGCGAGAGCTTGGAGCATCCCCGGCTGAACCAGAAAACGACCTGGGAGGAACCTGACCTCTGAGAGACAAGGCCCTGCCCGTCTGGACACCCGGCCCCCCTGCCGCACACAGGGATGGGTGTTGGCAGAGCCCTGGCCCCCGGCCCGAGGTGAATCAGGGAAACTTAATAAGACTCAGAGTCAGCATGGAGCACACATGCTACTCTCTTTGGCCTACGGAGGCACCTGGGGTGCCAGGTGAGGGGTGGACATCACTTGGAAGGTCCAGAGGCAGAGATAACCGCCCAGCCCCCTGCGCTCCTTCCAGTTGCTGCTCCCATCTCACCAGCGTGGCTACTTTTGACTCCTAACAGCGCAGATTCTCGGAGGGCAACACCTTCGCAGCTAAAACTATCTCAGCTCCAACCCTGCCCACGCGCCCCCTCCACTCCAGCTGTCAGAACTCTAACCTTTACACCCAATAAACTGTTCAAGGCTGGCTGACAGCTCTGCCCGTGATTTGATCCGTGTGATGACTCGGGAGGGCGTGGGAGTGACCGATGGCTGGACAGCAAATTCGGAGTTCCTGGCTGGACACCTGCTCCTGCCGCCCCCAGGTCACCGCCCACCGGGGAGCCGAGGCCCGGGCTCTGGAGGCTGAGAGCCCCCCTTCACCCGGCGCTGGAGCAAGGAAGAACTCCACACGTAGGACCAGTCAGGGTCGCAAAGCCTGGCTCTAGAAGACTCTGGACTGTGTGCAGACGCCTTTCCTGCATCGCAGCCAAAACCCTCCTGATGCCCACTTCCCGTTTGGCCTTGTCATGGCCGGGCA